GAGAGAGAGAGAGAGAGAGAGAGAGAGAGAGAGAGAGAGAGAGAGAGAGGAGAGAGAGAGAGAGAGAGAGAGAGAGAGAGAGAGAGAGATGATATATATATATATATATATATATATATATATATTATGTCTCTCTCTCTCTCTCTCTCCATGACCATATACCATGTATATATATTATATATATATATATATCTATATATATATATATATATATTATATTATATATATATAAATAAAACCATATATATATATAAACCACTATATATATATAAACCATATATATATATATATATATATATATATATATATATATATATGCGTGCGTGCGTGCGTGCGTGCGTGCGTGCGCGCGCGCGCGTGTTCAGAAAAAGAACAATGTTTTACATGAATTCATAATCTTTCACACGTTTCATGCCATTTGAGCTCGTAATTCGTATCATCTGTGAAATCAAAATAAAACTAGTCATACATGTCATATTCGTAACAATTATTTTGCTTAGAAAGATGTGATAAACTCAACACTCTTAAGCTTTGTTTTGGTAAATAAGACATCATTGTAAATTTTCCCGTTTCAAGAAGAGCATTATGAATGTCTAAAATGTTTCAAAAAATGAGCGTGCTTAAAGTAACGTGGTCACGGCTTGAAAATTTGAGCACTTACAAATTTTAAAATGGCCCAAATATGCATTAGACCATTGTGGGTTCAATGACCCATAGTATTAAACAATAAAGACAATTTTTAGCTATGGACTAGACTACTAGCGAAACCAAAATTATGGAGTGTTATTTTGGCCCTTCACCTGTCTGTCTGTCTGTCGACTTGTCGCAAAATGGGACATGTAGAATGCTGCGCCGTTTTATGAGGCCTTCTCCTACGCTATAAGACCATGTAACATGTTAAAACACTGAAGTGTCTCATAAGATTTCCTCACCGTCGTATACGATCATATAAACCTTTTCCAAAGTCTGAAATAGTCATGTAAGAGTTTCGCTGAGCTATAGGATCGAAAGGTTTGCAGGATACCAGTTTGGAAGAACTGTTAACCGTTGCACATGACCAAAGAACTTTGGAGAGGCTTCACAATATTATACGAGTTCTGATATTTTAAACCAAATATAGTTATGTGATTTCGGAGAGCCAAGGACTACTCAGATGCAGACTTGTGCTGTACTCGAAATTAATTATGCATCGCCTGATGAGTAAATCATTATGGGAAAGTCGTGAGCTAATTGACTCACTAGAAAACTAGCGTTTCCAGTCATCAGCTGAACCACATTTTTCGTCAAGTCCATCGGCTGAATCGTGATTTAATGATTACTAACAATTGTTGTGTTCAGACGTTATATGGCTCAAATAAAAATGGTAACATTAGGAGACACAGCACACCCCACACGAATTGGCAGACCACTCCAAATTGTGAAAAAGAGCGACGTGCAGCATTAGTTTTTTTGTACAAAATCAGCGCATGGTTCCCTATGGTAGCAAAAACAAATTGTTCATCCTACGCTAAATGTTGCGAAATCTCAGCTAGAAACCCATGCGTGTAGAAACAGGGGGGGGGGGGGAACAGGGCCCATCGGACCCCCCCCCCCACTTCTCATGGTGGGGGCCAGCAATGTTAGCCTGCCCCTTCCCCACTTTTCAGATTAAGTTGCGTTTAGCCTACTTGAATGCTACCATAAACATGCAGGCCGTTTTACCTAGTTCAACAGCCATCTTCCTGAAGGTGCGTCACCTTTTTCATTTGCCATTTGCCATCGCTTAGCGTCACATCCGCAGGGCCAACGCTGCGCGGCCTACGGAGACTGCAACGCCACGCGTCAAGGCCGTTGTGGCTAAGATTTGCGAGCACGCATGATCACATCCACATTACATAATTGTTTAGTCGTTTATTCTGACCGAATGCAACACACCTAAAGAGGAGCATGAATTGGCAATGTCGGTACAAATTTGGGGGCCCCATTTCGGTTTACGATCTACGTCCAGGGGTTCTCAAAGTATCCGAAGATCAGAGACAAATATGGAATTGGAATC